ATGAGATAGGGGTTTTTTTATTTTTTTTTTGGGTTTTGGTTGAGATAAAAAGAAAAAAAATAAAATGATTTTCTTTTTTTTTGGTTAGCTAATGATGGGGTGTGTTAGGGAGATAAGATGTTTTTTGACTAGTTTTGAAAATGGTGATTGAGTCTGCAGTTCTCGAGTTTTCAGGCGGGAGGTTCCAGATTTTACGCCCTTTCATGTACATCGAATTTTTGTAGAGGTTTAGCCGGACACGAGGAATGTCATAGAGATTTTTGTGTCTGGTATTGTGTCTATGGGTCCTGTTGCAATAATCCAGAAAGTGTTTTTAGTTCAGGGCTAATATTAGAATTCATGGTTCTGTAAATGTGAGTTGCACAGTAGTAAGTGTGGATGTTCTGTACACTGAGTAAGTTTAGGTCTTTGAAGAGTGGGGGGGGGGGGTTGTCTAGGATTGGAAACAAGGCACAGAAAAGAATAAATTATTGAGAGCATCACCGTGGATTTACTGTCGTCTGTGACTCCTCTCTGTTGCAGTATTGGACCTTCTTTATAAAAAGAGAAAGAAGCTATGACTTCATTATTCAGTGGTTCATACATGATGTATGATGTAAGGGAAAGTTAAGCCTCATAATTATTCTCGTCAAAGCCATTTTTTTTATTTTATTCTTTATAATTAAGGATATTTATGTTGAATTGTTTGGTAGACTCTCGTGTCACCCACGAGACGAAGCTTTCACCAGTCTAACCAATTTTTGAGGTATTTAGTGGTCTTTCGTTTCATTTTATATATTTGTTGAAGTTTGGAAGACTGAACAGCTCAAAAAAAGGAAAATTGATAGTGTTTCAGTAATCTGGGAATTGTAGGGAAAATATTAACTGATCAGCCTGGTAGCTAAAGGTCTCTCTTCACACGGTGAGGTCAGGGTTCGATTCCCGTCGAGGATAGAAACGCTGGGCGTATTTCTTTACGCCAATTATCTATGTTCACCCATCAGTAAAACTGGTACCTGGATGGACTGGTGTGGGTCGCATCCTGGGACAAAACTGACCTAATTTGCGGGAAATGTTCAGCATAACAAACGGCTTTCTATATAGTAGTATGTCACTGATGTCAGCTATGGACTGTAAACATTGTATATATACTTGCAGTAATAAAAATATTATATTAATGAATCGTTATATGTGATATCTCCCTCAAACTTTCTTCGGAATAACATTAAGTTCACAGATACTTAAAATAAAATGATTTTAACTTATATCACCAACTAAAGCCTATTATGACTAGTGTCTGCACGTGTGTCTTCACTCAGCTGGTCATTAATTTATGACTTGTTGCCCTGAAAATCAGGTAATTAGCTGTGCACTTACAGCTCACCTTGTTAGAGGTAGCTTACAGGAGGTACCACCAGCGGAGTGAAGACACACGGGCAGACACCAGCCATAATAGGCTTCAGATGGCGATACAAGTAAATATCAACTTTTTTACGGATCTGTGAACTTAAACTCTCGTTTAATGTTATATTTTATGCATGCTACTGTTATCGTGTCGCAAAATTCAATGCATCGTTACACTGCCTTATCAGGTCATTAGCTGTTTCATGTGCGGTCAGTGATGACCATGATGAAGATGAATGTGTGGAAAATACTATATTTTCCGGAAATACGGTAATTTATAGGTAAATAGATGGCCTATATTTTATTTAATAAAAATTAGGTTATGGAAAATGGGAAACTGAGCCTGCGTCTGCACAGAAGGAGAGTCGCCATTGTTAATTTGATTGGATACAACGTTAGTGTAATGGGAAGAATTTTTCGTGCTCTAGAGGTTAAATTTGGGTTGACACCTCTCAAATAGGAGGTGAAATTGTTGGATGTGCATTCCTGCATAACTTGAGATATCAGGAGAATGGACAAGACAGCTCCAGGAACCTCAGATAAGTCTGTTATGTTATAACTCTGGCCAGTTGTTATTTTCATGTATAGACAGTGAAGTTTTCTGAGTATGATACAACTTAATCTCCAGTCAAATTGGTGAGTGTTATGATTAAGATATATTCTCCTTCTGTTATATAAATGTGTATATATGTGTATCTATAATCATTTATTATTTTTAATATACAGTCCACAAATTTATATATTTACCAGCATTCCTGGTGATGTATATTTCATTTGTAATTAATAGGTCCAGAGCAACTTGTGGATATGACAGTGGTAGGTATCGAAGGGAGACATTTTTTGCGACCTAGGTGTCCCAAATTCCTACTTGTCTAACTGATAAATAATAATTATCTTTGTTCATTTACTGTTATGTATATAATGATACATTCAGATAAATGTAATTTTCCACATATAATTTGCCCGTTGGTCCTTCTTGAACCGGATGTAATTAGTGAAGTCATTAATTAGTTAATTACTTAATAATTATATGTGAAATGACAGAAGGAGGTGGATGTTAAGTTCACAAATTTACTTAATGTGTAGTGGATTATAATTATTACAATATTAATTTGGTAAGTCAAGTGTAACTAATTATATTAATGTGTATAATATTAATTTTGCAAAGCCAAAGTGGCGAGGATTTATATTAATGTATTTGTATATAATTAATTTGATAAGACAATTCTGGCCAAGATTTATATCAGTGTATGTGTAATTGATATATTAATGTGTATAATATTAATTTTGCTATGCCAAATTCTGGCAAGGATTTATTATTTTGTACAATATTAATTTTGATAAGCCAAGTCTGGCTAAAATTTTTGTTTGTATTAATGTACATTTGAAGTTTATATTATTTTCTTACATGTAATTGCTAAGCTCAAGTAGCTAGGATTTATTCAAAGGTAAGTTGTATCAGTGTTGTAAGTTGTAATCATTGTTATTAATTAAGTTGAATTTAGTACATTGCATCATGGCTGAAAATGAGGAAATTAATGTAGAAGACAAGCATATGGAATACAGAGCAAAGAAAGCATCACTGCAAGCTAGAAAAAGGCATGTAACAAAAGCATACAATAAATGTTTGGAATTAATGAATCAAGAAACTGTGAATACTGACGATTTAAAATTGTATTTAGATGCTTTAGGTAATAGATATGATTCATACAAATTATATTACAACAAATATGAAGGAGATTTGTTAGTAAACTGTGTAGATGAGACTGAAGTAGATTTTATGATTAATCAGTATTATGAATTAGAGGAAAAGATTCTTTCTTGTAAAAGTCAGGCCTTGAATAAATTAAAATGTGTAAACCAGGCAGTTAATCAGTCTGCTCCAACAAAAAAAATGTCTTTGCCAAAACTCCCAGAATTATGTTTACCTGTATTTAATCCTGGTGAAAATTGGGAGGAATTTTGGTCAATTTTTAAAGCAGCTGTGCATGATAGGATTGACCTAGCCTGTGTAACTAAATTATTTTACCTTAAAGGACAGGTAAGAGGAGATGCTCACATACTCATACAAGCCTTTCCCAATGTAAATGACTCTTACAAGGAAGCAGTTGACTTGTTGAAGGTCATCTTATGGTAATATAGAACAAAAGTAGGTTGGATCTAGTGAATATCATTGTTAATTTAAAATCTCCAGATCACACTTACAAAGGTTTACAGCAGTTTAGAGTTAAACTGGAGAGCACTCTCAAAACTTTAAGTAATAAATATAATCTGAAGGAATCAGACTGGTTATTGAGTGCCATTGTACAGAATAAATTAAACTATAAAACACTTGAATGACTCTCAAACAAATATCACAAGGGTTATTTTGGTCAGGAGGAAATAAGACTAGGTCTACAAGAATTAATTGTTCAGTTGCAGACCAGACAGCCAACTCATTTTAAAGATGCAACACATAATAACTCTGAGGTATCTGTCAAGTTTCGCAAAGGAAAAAATTATCCCAATGGTAATAATCAAATTTCATTTCCTAAAAAGAGTTGCATAGATGCATATCAAGTAGCAGGAATCAAAAATAATGATTCTCCACAAGGTAAGAAGAATAAGTACCCTCCTAAGAGCAGCCCAGTTAATAAGAAACCAGTCAAAGAAAAGAGAGATTGTTTCTTCTGCAAGGGTACTCATTTTTCTAAGAATTGCAATGCATACAATTCATGGAATGATAAAGTTGAAAGACTGGAGGAACTTAACAGATGTATCATGGTGTTTGTGTAATCACAATGTAAAGGATTGTTATGCCAAATTAAACAACTGTTATCAATGTCACAAAGGAAGACACCATATAGTCATGTGTAAAGGTCTATATGATAATGTTGATAATAATGATAATGTTGACAATCCTGACACAACAGTGGCTAATGTAAAAATTGCTGCTAATGTTAATAATGATGGTTTTGCTGAAGTAGCCTTACCTGTGTTACAGGTAAAAATTTATGATAAAAGGCATAAATCAAAAAATGTAACTGCATTATTAGACCAAGGATCCCAGCGTACTTTCATAAAACGTTAATTAATGTCTTGATGGTATGAAAGTACAGATGGGACATCCCACAACTTTAAAATTATCTGGTTTTCTCTCGGATAAAAGGGCTCAATTGTATGACACTGTTTACGTAACTGTCCACAAATTTATATATTTACCAGCATTCCTGGTGATGTATATTTCATTTATGATTAATAGGTCCAGAGCAACTTGTGGATATGACAGTGGTAAGTATCGATGGGGGACATTTTTTGCGACGTAGGTGTCCCAAATTCCTACTTGTCTAACTGATAAATAATGATTATCTTTGTTCATTTACTGTTATGTACATAATGACTCATTCAGCTAAATGCAATTTTCCACAGAATGATCATGATGAAGATTGATGATCATGATGATACCCGTAAAGGGCTCTAGTTGAAAGGAACTGGAGCTATTTCCCCCCTCCCCCCTTCCTTGGATCAGTGCAGTTTACTTCCTGTTTTTTAGATATGACTCCATGGTTACAATAATCTACTGATTGTTGAGACGCTGACGATACCTCTTACAGGAAGAATGTTCCCAGTTGACTTACCGAAGAGGAAACTGAACATCAGCAGCCAGACGCAGGAGAGGATGCTGGAGACGGATATGAAGGGTAAGAGGTTATCAAGACCCAGGTACTCCACCATCAACATGGTCATGACGCCCATGAACCCACCCACTCCACACCCCCACACCGCCAGCACCAGGCATGCCATCCACACGTCCTGCACCATGCTGAATACTGAGGCACTCAAGTAAACACAGACTCTCATTAATTGATGCTTATTGTTATTGTATCTTGAGGGATATAAGACAATAAGAGGAAGGAAGGTTAGATTAGGACAGTTTCGTCAGGAAACAGGACCAGTGTTTTCTGATGCGGATCTTAGTTGAGATATAAACACATGCAGTTTAATGTGATCCTTTATTGACAACGTTTCGCCCACACAGTGGGCTTTTTCAAGTCACAAACAGATCTACCTGGGGTGGAAGGTACGTGAGTATTTATAGTCAGGTTCAGAATGTTGAGGTCAGGTGGAGAATGCCGCATCTGATGATCTGCCGAGTGGGGTTATAGAGTCTAAAATCTTTGGTAGCTTGGAATGGAGATTGGATAAGTTGTGAGCAGACCTTCTGCAATGTTCTTCCATTCCTATGTTCTTATGTGGGATAGCGATGAAGAAGTTTCTTGGCAAGTGGTTCAGCTATGTTATAGAAGCCATTGTTCTGGTTGAAATTGTTGGTTATAGAGATAAGCGATGATTCCAGGATTTTTTGGGTTTTTGCGTGTTGCCCCTGGCGATAAAGTCTTGGTTTCTGTATTAAATAATTAAAGATAAACCCCGAATGTCACATGTGTCTTAAAATCATCAGTAGTTTAAATTTAAAAGGTTGTGTGTAAAAACCCACTGTTGGGCGAAACGTTTTAATAAAGGATCAACAAACTGCATGTTTTTAATTTTCCCTTGGGTTTGGGATTTTTATACATTTATTTCCCGCGGGCTTTGTTACGAAAAACCCGAGCTGGAGCTTTTTTCACATTGCCAGGCCCCCCGCGGCTTTTCGGTCCACCCCTTTTTAAAACCCAATTTTGACTTTGACAGAGGGAAAAAGTACCGTTAAATTTCATTTTAAATGTATTGCAAATAACTGTGATCTTCCAAGCATGGAGATACACGAACAGTCATAACGAAAAACGCAGCTAATAATAATAAAAAATGTTAATTATAAATAAATAAAAATAATTTAACCCAAAAAAGTCAAAGCTGATACTGATTCTTCGCTGGAGCCGGCCGGACCTAGGTGTTCTAATTACTGGAATAATTAGCTAATTTTTTTACTGGCACAGTGTTTTTCTATGCTGGAACCTAAAATTTTAGGGGGGAAAAAAAATTTTAGGGGAGTATTTTGAAAATATCATAGAAAATGTTGGGGCACTTCCCGCAGGAGTAAAGATCTCCCCTCTTTCGATGTATTAAATAAATTGATACATCATACCGAAGAACAACCAAAGTGAAAAGTAAATAAAAACAAAAACAAAAAAAAAAAAAAAACTATGAATCTGCAAGCAATACTAAAAAAATTATTATTTTTTATTATTTAAAACTGCAGATTCCCACCAAGGGGGGTGGCCCGAAAAAAAAAAAAATTTCACCCTCATTCACTCCTCACTGTCTTTGCCAGAAGGGTGCTTTTAACTACGTTTTTTAAACTGCAACATTAACACCCGTCCTTCAGAGTGCAGGCACTGTACTTCCCATCTCAGAAACTAAAGTCCGGCCTGCCGGTTTCTGAACCCCTTCATAAAATTTACTTTGCTCACACTCCAACAGGCACGTCAAAGTATTAAAAAACATTTGCCCTCCATTCACTCCATCAACCGCTCCAGCATAGCCTGCTGGAAGTCCAAGCTTCCTCGCACACAAAACCTCCTTTACCCCCTCCCTCCCAACCTTTCCTAGGCCGACCCCTATTTTATAAAGGACTTAATTTTAAAAATGAGTCTTGCTAATTGACCATTTTTATCATTTCGGCACGGCCTATATATTATATAAAAATTATATATAATATTCATATATATTATAAAAATATATATATAAAATATATTATGATATATTATATATATATTATTATATATATATATATTTTTTTTTTTTTTTTTTTTTTTTTTCAACAAGTCGGCGTCTCCCACCGAGCAGGTGACCCAAAAAAGAAAGAAAATCCCCAAAAAGAAAATATTTTCTATCATTCAACACTTTCACCACACTCACACATTACCACTCTTTTGCAGGGGTTCTCAGTATACAAACAGCTTAGAAGCATAATAAAATATAAAGATACACAACATATCCCTCCAAACTGCCAATATCCCAAACCCTCCTTTAAGTGCAGGCATTGTACTCCCATTTCCAGGACTCAAGTCCACTATATGAAAATAACCGGTTTCCCTGAATCCCTCACTAAATATTACCCTGCTCACTCCAACACATCGACATATATATATATATAATATATATATATATATATATATTATATTCATATAAAATATA